TGGGCTCGAATTATTTTTGTAATTTTCTGTATTGCCTCGTGTGTGGTAGTACATGAGGCTGTTCTGGTCGGGCGTGCGCGAGAGCTCCATGGCGGTGGCGGCAGCGCCCCGGGGGGCCTCGGGGGGGAAGGACCTGCTCTGCTCTTGGACTTGCACCGTGTGACCACGAGCCTCCACTGCTCCCCCTTGTCAAACGCGGCTATCACCGGCGGTGCCATCGGTGACGTGGGGAAAGCCACGCGCCTGGTCACAGGAGGACGTTTGATTGCGCCTATCTAGCCCACCACCGCCGCACTGCCCAATCCCAATCCCCGCTCCCCCCGCGGCAGCATTGGCCAATGGGATTAGCGCCGTAGAGCAGCAGCAGCAACATCGGCTTCGGTTGCAAATCCCTGCACAATCTGCGGGGCGTATCTTCCTCCTCCCTTCTCCCCCCACTCCCCTTTTCGTGCCTCTCGTCTCTCTGTCTCTTTTCCTCGTTTGCCCCTCCTCGTCACACAACTCTCTCGTGCGTCACTTTTCTGCGAGGATTAACGAAGGGCCGACCGACGGGTCGTCATCACTGCTTACTGGACGGACGCTGGGCTGGGGCGGTTTTGGAGGGGGTTAGAGAGGGAATGGGGGGAAAAGGGGGAGGATGGGTCCCCCTGTCACTATGCTGAGGGCCGAGGGAGGATCCCCGTCCGCTCTGGTGCTTATTGCACAAATATGGCACAAATAATAATTTCAATATGAATAACATGAATGGGCAAGAAAAGAAAGTCGCGTTGGGAAGTTTGAACAGCGAAAAAGGAATGTGAATGTGTGAAGAGAAAGTGGTTGCTTAGCACCAAACAATACTCACCAAACAACCAAATTTACAAGTCGAAAGCTGTGCTGTGTATCTCAGAATCAAGGTAAAAAATAGTGAAAAACAATATTGTTCAGAACTTAACGAAATCCAAATAAGAAATTCGTCAAATTGAACTTTGTATATTTTTTTAGATGTCGGACTTTTTTGAACCGTTTAACGCTGCAAGTGGGCCGCGGCCACAATACCGGAGAAATTCCGAAATAGAAATGTTCAAATTCATGATTTTAAAGAACATTGGGCCTACGACAACATCTGTTGGTCCAACATTCCGAGTTCAGTGCAAGGTTCGCCCTGAACAACCGGAAATATTCTTTTTCCTAAATGACGCAGACTACCGGCAAATGACAGAGGCTCGTGCGAATGATCTAATGGACGATGTACAAAACGGTAGAAACCCGTTTGTTTTCGTTGTTAAGACGGCAAAGATGCGGAGGACGGTTGTAGTGAAGTACAGTAAGTAAATTAATTCAGGTTCTATTGAAAACAAAATTTCTGAACCTTGGAAAATAACAATTTGTTTGTTGAAGGTGACGCCAGAAAGCTTTTGTACGACGACAGAAAAATGGTGCGCATCCAAGACATTCCTGATCCAGTGAAGAACGAAATGGATTTTGTGGGTAAAGTAACTTGATATCTGCGAGAGTGGTATGCGAAGAACGTGTGTTCAAATGAATAATTGTGGTGAAGGAAAGTAGATAAGTGAAACGTATACACTAGTCGTTTTCGTGATTTCTTACATGCTTTCTTGACGCATCTCATCTCTGACGACGGACCTATGTTCGTTCACCATTCCTTCTAAAAGAAGAGCCATAATCAAGAATGCTAATGAATTTGTTTCAGAATTGTCCAGGAATGGAATTGTATTCACGGCATGACAGCAGGGCGCAGCGCAGGTCGAAGCTTGTGCCCAGAGTGGTGGTGGCGTTATCACCTGCTGTGAATGAATGTGAGTCATGAAGTGAAAGAAACAAAGTTTGAAGTGAAAAAGCAAAGTTTTAAATGCTCTTTTTCACCCCATCGCCCCCCCTTCTCTACCCCCTTCCGCAACCTTTACCATGAATTTGCTGTTGTTTCTGTTGTGAGCGTTGCTGCCCGTCGCCAGCCGGGCGCCTGGGAGGTAGGCCGCGCTCGAACATGGACGCTCGGCGGCTCTGCCTACCCGCTGGGCGCTGGGCCGGCCGGCCCGCCTAGCGCCTAGGAGGTAGGCCGCGCGCGAACACGGACGCTCGGCGGCTCTGCCTACCCGTTCGACGCTGGGCCGGCCGGCCCGCCGAGCACCTGCGTGGACGCGCGGCCTACCTCCCAGGCGGCAGTCATGGGCGTGGGCTGAGTAAGAAAGCCCCCAATACGAGACACCCAGCTTGTGATATTTTCGTCTCGTGTGTAAAGGAAACCTGATTTCGTTTCATGGCCAAACAGGAAACTTCAAAAAAAGGTAGAAAATGTACAGAATTTTAGTGAAATTTCTCAGTTTTCTAGTCGTTTTAGTTTTGTTTTGCGCAAGGCAGAGACTGACTTGGGACTACTGGCGTCTCGTCGTCCGGCCGACTGCCGCTAGATGGCGCCAAGACGCGCTCTCGTCTCTCTCTTTTTATCCTTCTTGCCCTCTTAGCGGCGTCCCTCACGAGGTGGGGTGGCGTGCGCGCGCGCTCATCCGCTCAGCGCGGCGACAAGAAAGCGGGAAGGTAAATATCTCTGTTATTGCGGTCGTGATATCAAAGAATAAGCCAGGCGACGACGAGGGCGAGGGTGCGGGCCGGGGGCGGGGGCGCGTCTGCCTGCCTGCCTGCCTGCCTGCTCAGGGCCTTCAAGTGTGTCGCCCTTCACGAGGGCCCCTCGTCCAATAATAATGTAGCAGTAATAGGAATGGCCCTTCCCGGACACCTTTCTTCAGGCGTGTCCCCCCCCCCTCCTGGCCCCCTTTCCCTCACCTCCCACAACTTGCTTCCCCGCATCCCCGCTCTCTCTCTGATCCTTCAAGTACCCCCTGTCTCTACCCGTCGCGCGGGACGCTGTGTGCGCACCCTCCCCTGGTCTCGTCTGTGCGTGTGCCTTGAATACCCAGAAAGCTCTTTACCTGGCAAGGAAAAAATTTCGGCCCAAGGAACGAACAAACCATTCTTATGTCTTTCACTGTGAAATTTTTGAAATATTTTGTGTAGTTATTTGCAAGCAAAGTTGCAAATATAAGAACGATATTTTAAATTTACGATGATGCAATCTGATTCCGCGGAGGAAACAAAGTTAAGAAATTTTGTTATCGTTATATATTACAGCGTTTTTTACTTATATTTTTAACTTTTACAATATATTTCATTCGATATTTCCCGTAAAACTTAAAAACATTTTTCAGAGTGATTGATTGACGTAAATCCGAGTGGAGCTGTGGGTTTGGCATTTACTACTATAGGGTTAGGAGGTAGTTTGCCGAATTCATTTCGTTCCCACTCTGTGCGTCTATCGGACTGTCTGTCTCCCAGCCCCCTCCTCTCCAAGCAGCCCCTCCCCGAGCTCCTCTCTGTCTGACGACCTGGACAAGTTTGAAGACGTGCCAGGCCCGGCGGCCCCTGCCCTACCCGGATGGCCCATTAGACCTGCAGAAAGGGCTGCCTGCCGGCGGCGGGCGAGGCGAGGCGGGGCGAGGTGGGCCCTCTCTCAGTCAGCCGCCCACCTGGCACGCACTTCGAAAAGAAAAAAGCAGCATTTCACGAGGGGGTTTACCATCCTCCGCGCGCTCTTTTTTCCCCCTCTTTCTCTCTCCGTCCCGCCTCTCTTCTCACGGCAGTGTGACCCCCCGACAGCCCGCCTCTTGTGTTGTTTAGAGAGGAGGGTATTTAGCGCCTCTGCTGCCAACCGCCCGCCCTCGCCCCTTCTTTGTTGTTTTACCTCTGGACCGTGGCGTCGTCCCCAGCGGGGCGTGTTCAGGACGACGGCAACTCTGGCTGGTCAAAGACGGATGGCCGCACGCTGACTGCGGTTGTAAAGGACGCCCCTTCCTTCCCTTCTCGCCCCTCCCTTCCCACCCTGCCTATACTTTGACGGGCGCCCTGGACGCCCTGGACCACGGCTATCCGGGCCTGGCCCCGGCCTCTGCGCGTGAAATAAAAGTGGCCGAGGGTGGGCGGCTGGCCCTCGGGCTGGCCTCCTCCCGCTGCTGCTGGTGTCCTCCCCCGAGGCCGGGCCGGGGCGGCGCTTAGCAGGTGTACCCTGCCCGTCTCTCTCTCTCTCTCTCTCTGGGGGGAGGATGGGAGGGAGCGAAGCCCGGGCGCAGGCCATCCAGAGACATAAGTTAGTGCCCGGTCGGGCCCGGTCCTCGGGCGCCCTGGCCTTCTTTGATTTGGGATTTGCCTCCTCCTCCCCCGGGCGGGGCCGCCCGCTGTTTGGGCGCGCTGTTGTGGCCGCTCTGACGCGCCCCCTGAGCAGGGTACGCCCGTTTACTTTGGGATTTCTTTTTAAAAAGGGGGCCCCGATGGGCGGGGGGCGATGGATCGGCTGGAAAAGGCTTGCCGCGCTTCTGCTGCTTCGTGCGTGCTATTGCCGATACTTCACGCCCCGCGGCGCGGCAGCCGCGCTGCGATCTCAAAGTGCTCTTTTGTGATGCACCACCGGCAGGGCGGGTGCAGCAGCCTGCTTTTCAAACCGTGGGAAAAGAGCGTCATTTCCGGTCTGCGCTTGGCGAGGGTATGAGGCGACACAAAGGGGCGCGTCCGCCCCGCCTCGCCCCGCCCCAGGGCGTTCTCGTGTGGCGCGCGCGGTAGAGGGCAATTTCCTATATATCCACAACCCCTGGCCTCTTGGTGTCCCCCCTCACCCCGCCGCCCCTCTACCCGCCGCCGGGCTCTCTCTCTCTATGGCCCTCCTCAATTTAGCTGTAACTAAGCAAATAAATTAACGCGCTCACTCTGCGGCACGATGGACCGTGTCCCCGCCCCCGCGTCCCGTCGCGTACCCCACCGCGCCCC